ATTAACGAGCCGATGGCAGTATTGAAACTGCAATTATCACACGTTATGAATATTAATAGAGAAAGTCGGTGATGTCATTCGAGGGGCCGGCCTGTGGGTAGGTCCGAATAAGGTCATGCGCGATATTCAAAGCCGTAAGTTTCAATTGACATCCATTTCTAAAGTGTAATTGTTATCAATTGTCAGAATTACACACAGCCGGCTCTAAACTGGAGAATTAAAAATTTCTGTATCAATAGAGTCGGTGGATAAACGAAACCTACGAAGCTAACCATACTTTTTTTTAAATAAATTGACGAGAGGAAGTCATGAAACTGTATGTTTTATAAGGGTACGAAAGAGATATAGAACGAAAAAGAAAGAGATAAAGCGAGTGAATGAGGGAAAGAAATAATAGTGAGAAAGATATAAAGAAAAAGAGCGAGGGAAATAATGAAAAACAGAGAGCAAGAAGAGAGAGAGAGAGAGAGAGAGAGAGAGAAATAAAGCGAAAGAAGGAAAGCGAGTGATTGAGAGAGAGAGAGAGAGAGAGAGAGAGAGAGAGTGAGAGTAACAGAGCGAAAGCAAAATGATAAAGAAAGAAAGAGAGAGAGACAAAGGGAAATAAAGGGAGACAGAGAGAAATAAAGCGAAAGAGAGAGAGAGAGAGAGAGAGAGAGAGAGAGAGAATGACAGTGAGTTAGCTGAATGTCCTACCACCCATCTTTTATTTGCAATGACTTAAATAAAGAATTGACCTAGAACAAGACCCACGCACGCGCGCAATTATTTGTATAGTGGCTTTAAAATCACCACTTTGATATCCTATTGTGCCTAGTTTGCTAGAAAATTTTATTATTTTAAACCTCCAATACTGTGAAATTTAAACTTTTTTGAAATATTTACGGTTTGGCCATTGCCGTAAAAAATGTATAGCACTATGGTCAGCAGTTTTTATACAACAGACAAAGGATTTTCATTTTTCCTTTTTATTTGTGGACATTCCCCTGGGGAAACTTTGCATCGATTTATTTACACTCTTTAAGACCTGTTTTTAAAAATAATTTTTACTATGTTTGTTTCCCCAAGCTTTTCTTTCGTGACAGACTGTGAACAAATTTGTTTGGATTTTTTCTGTCACTTTTGGTCAACTTTGATTCCGGATTATCAGGTGGTTAGGAAATTCAGGGAATTAGTGCTTTGAACCCAGTAGAAAATGGAACTATAGATTTTGTAATTGATTTCGCTTTTGTAAAAAGATTTATTGAGTATATGAGATCTAACATTTTATTCATATTCATTTTTACATACAGGGTGCCCTTTTTAGATTGCCCGGCTGAATTTCTCTTGATCCAAAGACGCTATCTAAAAAAAAAAATACGTGTTTAATATTCTTAGTCTAGTTTCAAATTTTTACCTTTTTTGGAGAAAAATTATACAGGGTACCTCAGGCCAAGTTCAGCGTCAAAATTTCTAATACAACCCCATAAACCTTGACTTAAAAGATATCAATATAAATTTAAAGGATTTTTTATATTGAAAACAATGCTGTATTCAGATTTTAAATTGATCAAAAAGTGATGGCAAAAAGTTTGAAAACACGAATTTCGTATGTTTGGTTGCTAATTCCAATAATTTGCTTCTTTGCTAAACTTTAATTGTCTTTATTGTTTACATTCTGTGATTGTTTGAGAAATTCGCATTATGAGAGCAAATCTTAATTCCTGGAAGTAAATAAATTTTACAATAGTGCTGATTATGACAGACGTCTAACGTTCCTTGCACACATGTCGTTTTAGGAGGCCGAAGAAAACATTCTTCCATATTCTATGGCTGATGAAGCCAAGTTCACAAAGCACAAAGCGACGATGGCAGAGGAAAATCCGAGAATGTCGTACTCTTGTCATCATCAGGTGGTTCACAGTCTCAACATTTGGTGTGGACTTCTCGGCAATGAATTAATTGCGCTTTTTTTACGAAAATAATTTAAATGGTGCTCAGGTTCTCAATTTTTTGAGGGAGGTTTTACCAAAACTATTAGATGATGTTCCTCTGCACCACGATAAAGGATGATTCTCCAGTTTGATGGATGGCCTGCACACAATTTGTTGCAGGTGAGACGATATTTGAATCGTCACTTCCGGGATAGGAGGATAGGACCTCATGGCCCGATCTGTTGGCCTCCTAGGTCACCCGCTTTAACTCCACTTGACTATATTCTGCCATTTAAAAATCAGTGTCTACGCCAATCATAACCCAGCAACCTCAGTCGAAGAACTGCGACATAGGATAGAAAATGCTTGTCAATCCATCTTCTCTGATTCTGTCGTTCTGAGCACCGGTGAAGAGTGGTTAAAAATAGCAAATCTTATAAATGACAAACCAAATGACTGTTATTGTTTTTCCACATTTTTCCCATAACTTTGACTTTGTTTGACCAATTTAAAATCCTATTGCATCGTTGTTTTCAACGTAAAACATTCTTTAAAATAATGTATCAGAATTTATAGGGTCGTATTTGAAATTTTGAAGTTGAACTGGGCCTAAGATACCTTGCATAATTTGTCTCCAAAAAAAAGGTAAACATTTGAAGCTATACTAAAAAAATATTAAACACGTATTATTCTTTTGTTTGATAGCGTCATTGGTTCAAGAGAAATTCAGCTGGGCCATCTAAAAAGAACATTCTCTGTATGTTTGTANTATTTATATTGGGGAGGGGTCCGTATGTTGTATTTGAGCTCTGCGTTAGGGATGGAGAAAAAAACCCAGTAATTTTCAATAAATCCACCCTTGCCAATGTTTCTAATTTTATAACTTGTGATTGATAATAAAATAATAATAAAAGATAAGCAAATAAAATATTCTTCGAATTAGACTTTCTGTTTTATCATGCAGGAAAGACATTGTTTTTGTATCGACTTCTAAGATAAGATAAACTTTGAACCAATCCTCTTTTAACCTAAAATGTTTAACCGCGATTAACAACTGGCGGGCCATCCCAATGGGGTTATCCTGTGAAGGAGGAGAGTCGTTTAGAGGGAGAGAAACGGTAACCAGGAGACAGGCTCAGCTCCTCTCATTGGCCGTGGCCACTTGTTACATGTTTTGCCATTGGATGAGACGTTCCCACATCGATCCTGCAGCCCCCCTGACTCTTTATATCCTGGCGATCCTCACAAACTAGACTGTATCCGGTTTGTTTCACCTGGAATCCAGGTAGCTAATGGACAAGAGGAGGGGATAAGGACGATTCGAGGAGTCGTGATCCCATCAAATACCATTCTTTTTCAAAGTTTCATCCATGTATACGGAGGTGTTAGCTATTGTTCAATTGAAGTTTAACCATTCGGTATAGAGTGCACATAAAAAAACAGTTTTTGATCTGATGAAGGTATAGTGAATAAACCGTATATTTTCAGTGTTTCGACTAGATTTTTGAGTTTCGTAAAGTGACAAAGTATAATAGTGATTTAGTAGTATAATAATAGTGATAAGAATTAGAAAATATTAACTTATTTTTAACCAAAAATGTTGGTTTTAAAATGACCTTAACAAGTAGCAAATGCTCACTTGACAAAAAAACAAGAAAAATTCGTTAATCCACGTATTAAAATTTCTTTGATCATAAGAGATTACAGAAGTAAATTCAATCAAAAGACATAGTGAAATTTATATGGCATTGGTGTCTGCAATCTCGAGATAAGTTTGGACAAATTTGTATAATTACTGTTTAAACTTTTGCTATTTGTTACAATCTAAATATAAAGGAATAACAAAAATTGATTTACTCATTACATATGATCACCACTGATAAATATTATTATGAAAATCGTTAATCTTTATATCTTATTATTTTTCAGATAATTATCTTTTATGGTAGTTTTGATAAAAATACACCTTCCCTTAAAATCATTAACGGCACATTTCTTTTTTAAAATTTATAATTATTTTTTGATGCTGGTACGAAGTTTGCCCCTGATTACCCGGTCTGGATGACTTTTGACGTCAGTGTTGAAAATCGGCCTAATCCAAGTGTCCCATGGAGGGTTGAGAACCGTGAACAATCCCGCTAATCGATATAGGCTTATTTAAAAAGCCGTACAAATTACTAAACATGACCAGAACGACCGCTTTATATAATTTAATTCCAAGAGGGGAATAAAGATTAAGTCGAAATGGGGGTTGGACCCTCCAAATAAAACGGTAATAGGAAAGGGAGGGTGGCTTGTCTCACCGTGGATTTAGTGCTACTAAATCAGGACCACGCCCACAGTCAAATGTTGCCAAGGGACCACAGCCGCCTATTTACATAAATTCAATCAATGGAAGCCCCTTCAATCCTCTTGCTGGCAACCGGCAATAATCTCACGCGACTTCACAAACATTTTAAGAAACAGCGAAAATCTTGTGGATCCAGATGGAAGACAGTGGCAAACAAGTAAAACTATTCCTCTTTTCCTACGAAGCATAGCTTTTCATATGAGAAAGCATAGAAATAAATCTAAAAAGCCTCACATAAGGATAAAGAATATAAACAAATTTTACACCGTACAACAATGGCTGTATATCATCTGTCGGACAAGCTTTTTACATACGAAAGCTCCTAATATTTTACAAAAGAATAAATTCTTATTTAAACCCTAAATTGGCTAAAATACATTAACTGAATACGCACGTAGTGCCAAAATAAACGGAGGAGCTTGAAATTTGGACTTCAAGTCTTAACATTTTTAATTATTACAAAATATTATATATTATGTTATGGCATTAAAGGAATAATAAAAGAACGCTAGTCGTTTGTATTTCCAAGATGCACAAAGGAAGGATAAATATGAGATTTGTATTATAGCGAACGCTTTTTAGAGGGGTTTGTGTGCGGTCTCTACGTGAGTAGTGAGGCACGTACACTCAGATATTATCTCCGAACCAATCACGTGGAGACAAAGAAACACGTTCCTCCGTCGTAATTTTGTGAGCTTCATGACGTGATTTTTACACTTGTTTTATTTTTGTTTCAGGAGCATCCGGGCCTCAGAGGCACACCGCTGGCCATGTTGGCGGCTCAATGCAATAAACTCTCTAGTAAATCGCCACCGCCGCTGGCGGACGCGGCAGTCGGGAAAGGATTCCACCCCTGGAAGAAAAGCCCCCAAGGAGGAAGCGGTGGTGTCGCAGGGAGGAACGAGACAGCGACCAGTTCGGCCCCGTACACGAGACCACCGGTCAGCTCGTGTAGCTACACGGCCGCCACTGGCGAACTGTGGTCGACGACGGCGTCGAGCGCACCGCCCCCGGAAAATCAGCTGAAAGTGGAAGCCGTCTATTCGAGGCACCCTTACGAATCGTGGCCGTTCAACACGATGCCCGGTGCCCACCACGTGAAACCGGAAACCGTCAACGCTGCGGGTTGGTGGGACGTCCATTCCGCTGCGGCACCCGGTTGGCTGGACATGTCGGGACACACTCAGATGAACTACAGCCCCGATTATACCCTCAGCCACACATTGGCCGCATCTAACACAGCTCACCTCCTAGGATCCGGACAGCACCTTTTACAGGACTATAAAATGTTACCGGGTCAGGGTAGCACGTTCGGACTCCACCATACTCCGGCGGCGGCGCCTGCTCCGGCCCCTCAAGCGCCATCGCCGAGGTCGCAGCGTCGGTACACAGGCAGGGCGACTTGTGACTGCCCCAACTGCCAGGAAGCAGAGAGGCTGGGACCCGCGGGGGTCCATCTTAGGAAAAAGAACATCCACAGTTGTCACATCCCCGGTTGTGGAAAAGTGTACGGGAAGACGTCCCATCTCAAGGCGCATTTGAGGTGGCACACTGGAGAGCGCCCTTTTGTCTGCAACTGGCTCTTTTGCGGCAAGCGGTTCACCAGGTCGGACGAACTGCAACGCCATTTGAGGACTCACACCGGAGAAAAAAGGTTCGCCTGTCCTATATGTAACAAGAGGTTCATGCGCTCAGACCACCTCGCGAAACACGTCAAGACTCACAGCGGGAACGGAAGTAAAAAAGGAAGCAGCGAGTCGTGTTCGGACTCGGAGGAGACCTCGCTCACGGGCACACCTCCGCCGAGCGAGCCTACTCTGGGGGAAGCGATGAAAGGCGGGCTGGTCTGAGCGCTGGACCTCCCCAACTCCAAAACCGAAAAAAGAAACAAAATTGACTTATTAGTTAACTCTAGTTGACATTTTTTCAGAAGACTCTTCCGGGGGATGGAGCCATGTCTGATCTGAAGGGCCTCTTCTTGTCTCTACTCGACCGCTGCACAGGCTGGGCTCTGTTCATTACACATTGCAAACTGTCCCTTCCCAGCCCTCCCCACCCTCACAACCACCGATTGCACTCAAACCCATTGTAGTTGCACCCACAGACATTTTAATATCACAGAAACCTCATTTTTTTGCGCACTTACACGATTATCGTATGCCATCGTACTTTCGTCAAACTATTATTCATGGTATCTATTACTCAATAACGACCGACATAAAAGTAAGTTTAGTAACGGAAACAGAGGGTGGGCGCGTATTCACGAGATCTCTCAGTTTTGCAGTGTGTTCTAAACAGGGCCCACCCCTAATATCTAAAGTTATTTAAATCGAGTGCCTTAGTGAGACCAAACTTTAAATTTGAAGGAGAGACTAAAAGGGGCCCGGAAGTGACTAACTCCTCTCTCTCGACTCTTATGTAAATATGTTATAAAGTATATATATTCCATGAAAAAGAAAATAAATAAAATAAAAAAAGCGATTTGTAAAAGTCCCGTTGCTTGATGTATTTTTATTATATATGGTTCAATTGTGGATGGATAAATTTATACATAAGAATTATAAATTTATATATATATTTATTTGAAAAATATATATATGTAATTGTGTAAATAGTTTTTAAAGCTCACGGTTTATTCGTGGGCCGTTTTGTCACTTGTAACCCTTGTAAATATGAAATATATATTATTGTTTTAAAAAGGTAAATATATAATTATGATGGAAATCGAATAACATGTTCTAATGAGCTTTTTACGAAATGGATGAAAGATTTTTGACAAAAAAATGAAAAACGGAAGAAAAAGAAAATGTGACACATTATCATGACGAACACAGTAGAAGACACACATATCATCAAACAGAGGGGACGTAAGATATACGCTAGTCATTTACAGCGACATACACAAGTCCTACCCTCCCTCCCAAACCGAACCCTCTCCAACACCTTAAATTCTTGTACAAGAATCAAAATAAAGATGTTTTCACAAAAAAAAGTCTTCTTATTTACACGAAGCCTTTGACCATGCCACAATTCAAGATTCAAAAAAATATCTGGGCGAACGGTTGATTGACTCACGAAGTTTCATCTCTTTGGAAAACGATAGCAGGTTTGTAGCACAAATATTTTTTAAAATTGTGGTAACTAAAAGATAAGAAGAACAATTAAAAAGAAATTCTTTACAGAAAGGTAAAAACATATATGTTTACAATATTACAAATGGTTAAAAATCATTGGACAATGAAAAAATTATCATTGCTGTAAAATATTTTGAATAAAATATGGGATCTTAAGACAAAAAGGAAGATATTAATCAAATTCAGTCTACACGATAATCAACTTTTTGAATAGAGGGACGTGACCAACATTTTTAATCTTAACTGATAATTGAAGGATCGAGATGAGCCGATTAGAACATCTTTTTAAAATTAATTAATTAATCCAACGGAGAATCATCAAGTTTTGTACAGGAGGATTTATTTGTGGTCTAATAGAAGAAAAAGTAAGTAAAATAAAAAAATTAAGGAGTTAAAAATCATCTAAAATAATAAAGATATTTATTTTGTAGATTATATCGTAAAAATATTTACTGAATTGTTGCTTTTAAAGTTGGAAAACTAACCGAGGAAAAGGTCTTAATTAGGATGCAGGCATAAAGGATATTCGACAATAAATAATATATTTCACCTTTTAAGTATTGTTAAAACTGTGACGGCAACAAAAAGAAATAAGTATTAGAAATTATGAAGGTGGGGTAAGTATGTAACATTCACTTTTTGTAAATGATGGTTCTACCCACAGATTTGTTGTTTAAATGATCCGGGTTTCAAGCATTAAACGCTCATCATCAATTTGAAGGAGTTACAAACACGTCTCCTCAACATGAATTACATTCTATTATTTTACTTTTTTTATTTCAAATCTTAACGAAACAAAAAACAATTTCTATTTCGTCTCAAATACAAGACTGTTTCACCGTTTTAACAAAAGGAGGGAACTACACTGTCCATAAAAAAACCACCACTTCGTGTTTACACGAAAAACTGGCTAACTTTGGAAATGTATATTTTCTTAACCTCTTAAGTCACAGCCCTGCGCTAGGCCTCATTTTTTAGACAATTGTACTGAACAAAATGGCTTTTTAAATGTTTTCCTAGGTTCAGCAAATTCAAAAATTCTGGAACGTATCAATTTTTGCACTTTTTAAGAAAACTTCATATTGAACTGTGGATCCAGTAAATAGTTCTGAAGCAATGCCTTTTTAGCAATCAATAGGAAATTTTAATAAGCTTTCATTGCGTCACCTTCCACTAGTCCGATTCCTCAACCGTTTTCGAGCTATTCGCGATTTTTGGTCAGAAAACGTAGTGTTTTACGTGCACACGAAAAAACCCGATCTCTCTCTCTCTCTCTCTCTCTCTCTCTCTCTCTCTCTCTCTCTCTCTCTCTCTCTCTCTCTCTCTCTCCCCCGATTTTAAGAATACATAAATTTTGGCCCATCATTTTTTCGCAAATTTTACGCTCTACTTTGACCTTTTGGGATTCGGAATGCTTCTGTTGTCGATAACCACTTGTTTACCTTATCACGGAAATTCAACTTTTCCTTCCCATTTCGTAGGTGTTGTGGCAATTTGGCTTTGAATAACGTATTGAAAAAATAGGTTTATGTTCGGTAAAATTGTAAGAGATAGTGATTGGTTTTTAGGTGATTAGGCAAATCGGGCGACATGGAAGGTGACCAAATGAAAGCTGAGCTTGAGACCTAGGGCAGGTCCATGCAAAAACTTTTTTTTTGTTAAATTCACTAATTTAGTGGTCCGTTTGACCAATTAATATATTACAATTAATTAAGGTTTTTAGTTGAGATAAAAAAGTCAATAGCACGAGCGGGATTCGAACCCAGGATCTTCGGCTAGATACACCGCTGCTGTACCACTTGAGCTATCGTGACTTCGATCCACTCAGACACCAACTTCCTATCTCAACCCCACCTTTTGAGATAGGAATTTGGTGTCCGAGTGGATCGAGGACACGATAGCTCATGTCGTAGAGCAGCGGCGTATCTAGCCGAAGATCGTGAGTTCGAATCCCGCTCGTTCCCTTGACTTTTTTATCTCAACTAAAAACCTTAATTAATTTTTTTTTATTCGTAATGAAATTGCAATTGTGTTTTGTTTCATTGAGATGGTCCTTAAATTCTGACAATTTGTTCAATATAACATCATAAAAAATTAATTGCATATGTTAATAAAACAATGCTCTAATAGTCAATGTTAGTATCGAACTTTTCCACTTAAAATATGATTGGTTCGTTTTGTCAGTACTGCTATCGAAATAGATCAATTCGGTCCGGGACTTTTCGCTTTTTCACAAATATCCCTACGCAATTTGACTGTCAAATTGTCATGGAATATAAAGTAAAAGAAATTACCTAAAAATGTCACAGGGAAATAACGATATATGAAAAATTCTGAATGTGCACAGTCTTATCGTGACAAAAAGGTAACGAACAAATCTGAATAAATTAAAAAATTAATGTGAATATTTAAAGATCAAAATATAAATTACAAAAGGTATGGAAATTAAGTTCTGTTCTGTTAGTAATATTTTCAGTATCAATCAGCCTTCTGGCAATCAGGCTTATCCTCGCTTTTTAATTGCCTTATTAGCGCCCTGTTTAAATCACCGATCAAACTCATACAGTTGAATATAAATATAAAACATCTATGTTAAAATTTGTTTTTCTGTAACAGCAGTAAACAGTTTCTGGCAGTAATTTTGATTAAACTCTATGTTATACTGACTTTTAAACTGGACACCTTATGAGGAAACAATTTCAATCTAAAAGTGAAGCTATAAACATTTATAACTTTTTTTCAGCTTGTATACTTTGTAACTTTTAAACTGAATTTAATTCAACTAGGATGAACAAACGCCTATGCTCGCTTTGGAATCGCAGTTTAAATCCCAAGTGATTTGTAAAAATTAATATGGAAATGTTTCGCTGTGTTATGATTCTGCAACAATCATTAACAATTAACAAATCCGTACTTTTTCACTTGAAATGAACATAAAATGAAAATGTAATAACAGGCATACAAAATGAATTTTGGCATTTACACCCCCTTGATTAAATTTGTGTACTTAACCACTTTGTGTTACTATTTGCCTTAAAAGAAAGCAGGCTGAAAAGGAGGATATGTCAAAATATGTTTTATGGTCAATTCTACTCCACCATGAAAAGATTGGTGGCTCCCCTGCTATGAGGAACGAATGGGTGAGCCTACAATGACTAATTCTAAGCCTAGAAATAATACCTTCTTTGTATGTTGGATCCCCTGGTGATTCAAGGTTTTATATGTTGTTCTATTTACCTGTATGACAATTGCGGTTATAGGGACCACAGTGGTCGAGTGGCTATGTTTCCGACTAATATTTGCCACGACAGCGGTTCTCCGTTCGAATCCCGTCAGAGACCATGACCTTTTATATTATAATCATATGAAAAATGTACTGTAAAGTGGTTTGACCATCCGTACATGACACCCAACGGGTATTTGGAGTTAAGCCCTCCTGTATGACAAGAATTGCTTTGCTTTTTTTTAAATGGGGTGCCATTCTTCCTGTTAGAAATGGCTATTATATCTGAATTTGGAGGTTTTGTGATTTTCCCCTGCTTACAAATTGTCTGTTTTGTTAGTTACAACCGCTTTTTCATTGACTGATATCCTGCAGTGCTCAGGAAGCCACATGCCTTTTATTAAAAGGTGGGAAATAAAGTTGTTTTCACGTGCTAGTAAACAATCTGACAATGAATAGTACAGAAATAAAGCATGTTTTTCAATGCACTACAACATTTATACTTTGTAATGTGGATCCTTACCCACCATCTTTCATTTGACTATCATCACTCTCAGACGCGTTTCGTCATTTCGTCATCTTCAGTGACACACAGTGTAGACAGACCAAGATGAATGGTAAGGTTCAAATTATTTAGATTCCGCAGAACACAGGAAGAAATC